CCATTCGCCCGCACACTACCCCTGTTCATATCACGCCCTCTCATTCCCCGTTCGCCCCTTCCTTCTGGGGCAGTGGGAGCAGGAGGAGGAGGGGGGTGATGGGTAGCAGTGGGAGAGGGGGGTGGAGGAGGAGCAGGAAGAGGGGCAGGAGGCGGCGGAGGAGGAGGAGGAGGCGACGGTTGAAGCGGATGACGGGCTACGTCTCAACATTCGCCGTCTGTTGTTCAGTTGCATATTCCTCCCGTGATGATTCCCACATCCGCACCCATACGCCAGAGAGGGGGATGAGCAGCAGCAGCAGCAGCAGGAGGAGGAGAACGTGGAGGCGGACGATGCGTTGCGTCTCAACAATCGGTTTCGGTTGCTTCTGTGCACCTTCCTCCCTGTAGCATTCCCTCCCCCCCTCGTCCTATCATGTCTCCTCCTCATCCTCGTCCTTCGCCTCACCCACCTCCTTTTCCCGTGGGAGGGGGTAGAAGGGAAGGGGGGAGAGGTGACTGAGGATTAAACTAATGAGAATGAAGGGGGGGATGAGGAGAAGGAGTGATGTACGGATGAGGAGTGATGGGGGGAGGAGGAGGAGGTGGGGGAGGAGGAGGAGGAGGAGGAGGAGGAGGCGGAGGCGGAGGCGGAGGCGGGAGAGGAGGAGGAGGAGTCGGAGGCGTGACTCTTCAACCTCCTCCTGCGAATCCTAGAGAGGGAGGAAGGGAGGGGGAGAGGGTGACAGGAGCGATGAGGGGGTACGAAGGATCAGGAAGAGGAGGGGGAGGAGGATAACGGCGGAGGACGAACGAGGGGGCGACGCGAGGATCAGCAACATGACGATGAGGTGGACGGTGGTTATGATGATGAGGATGTGGGTAAAAGCGGGGGATCAGGAGGGGGACGAGGACGGAGGAGGAGGAGGAGGAGGGAATGGGGGCGACGTGCAGATCATGCGCAATACGATGTTGAGGAGGACGATGGTCAGAAGGATGAGGGCCGCGGAGGCCAGGATGATGATACTGTGGAAACCAGTTCATGATACGTGCGAAGCTGCAGGAAGTGTACGAGCAGCTGCTGATCAGGAGGACGATGATAAGGCTTGAGAGTCACACAACCATGTGTCAACATGAGGGGGTAGCACATATGTGTACATGCATGCGGGTGTACACAACAACACCTGATATGTCAAGACGGTGCGGTGCTGCCATACATGTACATAGTTATGACTGTAGGTGAAATATGTGTATGTGTGTACGTACGTACGTAGATATAACGTCATGTGTGTATGTATTGATGTGTGTGTGAGTCTAGATGTACAGGTGCCTGTGTATGTATGCATGTATGCATGCACGTATACATATGGGGCATGTCTGTGTATGTTGGTGTGTATGTGTGCATGGGTGAATGTGTGTATTAATATGTGTAGGTATGCATGTATGTATGTGTACGTTCGCGTGTATGTATGTGTGTATGCATGCATGTGTGTATGTGTGTATGTACGTATGTATGTATGCATGTGTGCATGTATGTGTGCATGCACGTGTGTATGTGTGTATGTATGTATGTATGCATGTATACATGTATGCATGTATGCATGTATGCATGTATGTATGTCTGTCTGTCTGTCTGTCTGTTCGTCTGTATGTATGTATGTATGTATGTATGTATGTATGTATGTATGTATGTATGTATGTATGTATGTGTGTGTGTATGTATGGATGTATGTGTGTATGTATGTATGGTCGCATGTATGTATGTATGCATGCATGTATGCACGTACGTATGCATGCATGCATGTACGCGGGTGGGTGTATGTATGTGTGCATGCATGTATGCATGCATGCATGTAAGTATGGATGCACGTGCACATGCATATATGTATTTATGTGTATATACAGGCGTGTGAGCGTGTACTTGTATATCGAAGGCGCCTCCAGTGGATCACCGCCGCCCCTCTGCCCTTGTGGAAACGCCTGCGTGGTGAAATGTGGAGCAAAAGTGTGGCCACGCCAGTGGACTGGGTGTTCCCCCAACCGTTGGGGAAGCCGCCGGCAGAGCACCGTGGAGGGGGCCTCTTGGGCTGTCTTAGGGCTCCATTGTGGCCTTTGGGCCTTTCTCGGGGGCTGCCTCTTGAACCGTCTTGAAGCGCTTTGGGGCCGTCTGGCGCTTTCGGGGTCGTCTTCGGGACCTCTCTTGACTGTCCTTGGCCTCTCTCGTGCTTGCAGTTGGGGGCTGTCCTGAGGCCCCCTTGAGCCGTCTCGGGATCCTTTTCGGCCGTCTTGCGACTTGAGCCATCGCAAGGCCCGCGTGTGCAGTATTGGCGCACTTTTCGAGGCCTCTTGGAACCATCTTGGAGGCCTCTTGGGCCGCCATGGGCTGTCGAAAGCTCGAACAGCAACAAACGCGCACAACTTGCAATAAACAACAAGGGAAACCAATGAGTTGGCATTGTTTGGGCCCTTTGGAGATCCCCTTGGAGGCTTGTTGGGTCGTCGTGGATGGAGGCGGTCGCGAGCCGCGTTGGGGCCTTCTTGAAGCCGACTTGGGCCATCAGGGACCGTCTTCGGTCTTCCCAGGGGCCATCTTGGGTCGTCTTGGGCGCCTTGTAGAGGAAGTGTTCCGACTTCGAGGTTTCTCCCTAGGGCCGGTGAGTTGGGCCAGAGACCAACCGGAATCTCCTGGAAGGAATCAAGGACAAGTGGCACGCATGCCCTAGCTTTTGCACGGGGAGGGTGACGAGTAGGGGGAGCATTTGCGGTCCATCCTGGGGCTGTCTCGGGTTTTTTTCGGGCATTCCGGGGCCGATGTGTGGGGCCTGGGGTCAGGGAGGTCCGAGATGGCGAAGGAGGCGGCCGATGACGAACGACAGCAAAAATCGACTAGACGTAAGAGTGACCTTTCGCCAGTGTGACCTTCGGTGCGGGCCAAATGGGGCTCCCCGATCGCCGAAGGCGAGGCGGCAGTGGCGTCTAGTGTGCTTGTGTTCGGCACCCCCGCGGACCCCCAAAAGCCGCGCACCAAAGGTCACTCTTACCCAGGGTCACTCCTGAGTGTAGCCGAAAAAACACGGGACTCTGCAACACAGCAGTGCAAAAGAAGAAGAATAGCCAGAGAACCCGGCACGCCAAGAGCCCTCGGACAGGCGGCGGGGGCGGCGGATCCGGGTCGCCGGCCAGAGCCTCCTGGAGGCGCCATGAGAGTTAAGCCGGGCGCGTCCCTCTACAGGAGGAATGTTCAAACAATCTAGAACATTAGTATGAGGACGTTTTTGTTTTTGTTGACGATGTTTGATTATCTTGGTTGACTATTTTGCATTTGTCCTTCAAAATCCGCCTGTAGGAGGACATGCCCGAGCTAATCTTGGAGGCGTCATCAGACCTCTCAGGGGCCTCTGGGGGCCTCTTCTGCGTGTCTTCGGGACCTGGCGGCGGTCTCGGTGACCCTCTTGGGGTGGCGAGCCCTAAATGGGGGTCCCTTTGGGCGGGCCCGAAGTGGGGTCGTGCTCCTCTTGGCCTCTCCTGGAAGTCACCTCGAGGGGGCCTCTGGGGGTCTCGGAGGCCGTCCTGTGGCGATAGTTGGGACTTCCTGGGCCGTCTTGGACCGAAAAGGCGAGAAGGCTCAACTGGCTGAAGAACAGAAAAAGTTGCTCCACGTGTTTGAACAAACTTGGGCCTGTTGGGGCAGCCCCGAGGCCTTCAAGATGGCTCCACAGAGTCCCAGGAGGGCTCCATGAGACGAAGGAGCTTTCCAGGGCCGTCCTGAACGCTGCTCGGAAAACTACTTTTCGGGGGTGGGAGGGTCGGTTTGGCGGTTTGGCGGCCCGGCGAACCGCAAGGGAAACGCCGTGAGTCGTTCGCATGCGCAGATAGCCGCGCATACACGCTACCCATTATTTTGCATACGTGAGTTCATATTCAGATGAATATGTGTATATATATATATATATATATATATATAGATAAGGGGATTAATGCGTCCGTGCGTGCGTCCGTCTTTGATTTTTCTGGCCGTTTCGCTCGGGACATCTTCGAAATTCTGAAAATCGATGGCACCCCTCACGCAGATCGTGAAGGAGAGGTCCAAAAACACATGGGAATTTCAACATTTAAACATACAACCTTCAAAAACACATGGTAATTTCAATAATGTTGACCCCGATTCTCAGAGAATGGCGGTTTCGCCTGAGACATCCTCCCAGAATCGAACCCCAGACCCCTCCTCGGAGCCTCCTGGGGGCCTCCTGGAACCTCCTGGGGCCTCCTGGGGCTTTCTGGACCTTCTGGTACCCCAGACCCCGCCTCGGAGCCTCCTGGAGTTCTCCTGGGCCTGCTGAGGCCGCCTGGGGCCTCCTGGGGCCTCCTGGGGCTTCAGAACTACATGCACACACAGAGACACTAATCACGCCCAACACATCACACGCTAGACAAACATAACATACACACACACACACAACACCGACAACACACAAAAAGCACGCACCACACAAAGCACACATCACACACACACACACACTCACAATCCTGGGGCCTCCTGGAGCCTCTTCTGGTATCCAAGTCGGGCCTCCTGAGGCTTCCTGGGGGGCCCTGGTACACACATCGCAAGGTGTGGCAACCCCACTTGCGCTCGAGTGCGACTTCGCTGTTGCATGTCACTCCTGCTTCAAACGCCCCTTCAGCTTGTTGTATGAGCCTGGGCACACACGTGCCACTTGTATATATATATATATATATATGTGTGTATACACGCATGTGCTTATATTCATGTGTTCTCTCTCTATCCCTCTTTCTTTCTGTCTCTCTCTCTCTCTCTCTCTTTTTCTCTCTCTCTCTCTGTTTCGGACGGGGCTAGGACGAAGATACATCCGTTCCAGAGCGTTCCAGAACGCTCTCAGAGCCTTCAGAGCACTCTGAGAAGGCCGCGGCTCCCGAGACATCTTCCAGAGCCTCCCGATCTCAGAGATTCTCGACTTACCCTCACACGATGTTATCCTCGTCCTGGCTTCGTCTTACTCTTAGCCTGGAAGGCTATTTAATTGCCCCCGTTCCTAATGGACTTGCCCCCTGCTCCGATGCATGTGCTAAAGCACGGTCGCTGTAGTTCACGATGCGGATGCCTGGCCAAGTCGGCGCCAGATGCTCCCGCCAGCGTGGCCGATTGGTCTGGGATTCCAAAGGTACGTGCCCAGTCCGCGGCAGGAAACAATTAAGCGCGCGATCATGTTGCAGCCCCTGAGCGCGCAGCACAGGAAGGAGCAGTGGGAGCCTCGCACACGCGGACCGCCTTCCTTCCTCCTCCCCTCTTTTCCCCTTCTCCTCCCCCCTCCCCTCATTCCACCCACGTCCCCGGCCATCTTACCCCGCCCCCCTCCCAGCAAGACGGAGAAGTTCACAGATGGATGAGTGGTTGGAAGCTGAACAAGGAGTAATATTATTATTCGTATTCTTAGTAGTCTAAATAACAATGCACTTGCATGTTTTTATTCATAATAAGAACACGAATGCTCATCATAATATTACTCATCATACGACGAAGCTCGTATATAATAACAGCCATAATCAACGAGTTTGAGCAGGAGGAGAACGAAGTGAAGGAGGCGTGGGCGGAGGACGCGGAGGATTTGCGAAGAAGGAGCAGCAGCAGAGGCATGAGGAGGAGGAGAACCAGGGCAAAGCCAAGATGTGTCAACGATGATGCAGCAACTGCACCCTCCCGTCACGTGCTTCCTCCCCATGGGTTTCGATTTCTATTGCGAAGGCCTTGCGGCCGGTGCCGCCGACCATGAAGGGGAACGACGACGACGGCGGCGACGACGACGACGACGCTGACGTGGGTCAGAGTCCTCATGGATGCTCCTTGGGGTCTCTTCGAAGCGCTTGCGGGGGCCTCTGGGGGAGAGTTTAGGGGCCTCTTGGGAGCCTCGTGGGGGCACCTTGGGGGGCTTCTTGGGGGCCTCTCGGGGCTTCCTGGGGGCCTCTTGGGTGCCTCTTACGGCCTCTTGGGGGCCTCTTGGGGGCCTTTTTGGTTCCTTCTGGGAGCCTCTCGGGGCCGAGGGCTCGAAATGTCCGTTCTGGTCCCTCGTCTGGGCACCCTCTTGGAGCCGTCTTTGGGGGGCTCCTGGGCCGTCCTGGAGGCGTCTTGGGCCGTCTTGGAGCGGCGACGAGTCCATCGCCTGAGGAGGAGGCTTCAGAGAAAGGGAGACGAGCGGCGACGGGCCCAGGAAAAGGGTGAGCGCAGGGAAAGGGGACGACAGGCGACGACTAACGAATGACGGAGACGACGGCTCGAACGGACAAGCCCCTCGCACACGCCGACAGGGTCGGCGGATTCTGTTTCATTGCGCGAATCGCCACCGGTGAAAAACGACCGCCCCATGGGCCCGCAATTCAGGCGGGAATTCCGTTTTGAATAGACACGGTCCTCCATCCCTCGAGCAACAAGGAATGCGACAATATTGGTTCATAAAGTTCAGGATCGTACCAAGCGACAATACCGCTTTGAGAAGCCACCGCTCTCCATCTTTTTTGACACCGTTGCACCAGTGTAAACCCTTGGCGGGAATACATGACGAAATCCTAAGCGAGGGCCTCATTCTGAAATTTAAGCGCCCTCCATCCGTATACGAGGTGCACAATGCTAGACCCGTGGCAACAAGTCGAAAGGACGTCCAACACGAGCCCCTTCTCTTGCACAGGAGCCACCCTCCATCCGTGCAAGCTGCTTGATAGTCTAGGACGGGTGAGCGCGACTCCAAGGCGATAGCCCCGTTGCGAAAACGGCCGTGCAGCTGTTGGACACGTCAAGTTTCCAGATCGCAGAACTGCGAGGACGCCAGAGGCGCAAGGCTCGGCCGGTCCAAACGACACGTCTGGTGGCGCGGCAGGGACGAGATGTGTGTGTGTGTGTGTCCGAGGAGTGTGGATCACTGGGGATAGGGAGGCGAAGGAAGAGGCGGAGGAACATGAGGAGGAGGAGGGGGAGGAGGAGGAGGAGGAGGAGGAGGAGGAGGACGAGAAGGTGAGGCTGGAGGAGGATCAGGAGGAGGAGGAGGAGGTGGAGGAGCAACCGCTGGGAATCAGAGTCGACACGCTCGGCAGCCTGCAGGTCACCCCGGGCGCTACCTAGCGGCGCCCGTTCACAGGCGGTGACGTGTCGCCCAGAGCCCCGATGCGCGGGGAGCAGGCGCCGCGTGCCGTCAAGACGCGCGGCCTCTGCAGCCGCCCAACATGATCGGATGGCACAGAAGAGTTACCCATCGGTCGTTAAGATTATGTATGTTTGGATTCCCAGGTTCCAATCTACAGTGGGGAACCATGCCGAGAAACATCCTGCTTGCCTCCAGGGTGCCCTGGGTGTCTTGGGCTTTGATGGTTTTGCATTGTACAGCGTGGCGTTCCCACCCCAAGAATCAATGGACGTCCTGGGGTCTCAGGGCTGGCTTTCTTGTGGAACATTTCATTTGGACTGACCTTCACTGTACCCACAGGTCGGTGAAAGTTGGTGTTTTTGGATTCCCAGATTCCAATCTACTTTAGCACTTTCCCACTTCAATGGTCGAGTGCGCCTGGGGCCCCCCCAGCGGCGCAGGAATGGTGTTCTGGAGCGGATCCAAGAAACCCGCGCCGAAAGTTTATGCTTGTGCCGTTTTGTCATTCCTCTACCTCGTCATGTATGAGCATTGTTTAACCGAGCCCCATCCCCACCAGCGTGGGCTGGGCCCCACTGGCCGATTTGCCCCCCTGGATGGGGATATAGGCTGCTCTCGTCGGGTTTCGAGGGGCATAGCCCCAGCTGAGGTGGTGAGACGGTGAGGCTCGAGATGTGGATTGGGATGGGGACAGGGATCGGTCAAACGATGCTGAACGTGTTGACACCCCCGATGGAAGCAAAGCCTGGTCTCTTGGGCTTGGGCGCGGGTGTCCCCGCCGAGCTCCTCCGCGCCTCGCGGCCCGGGACGGGGAGCTGCGCTTCTCCACGGGGTGGCGCGAGGGCGCGAGGGTAGTCTTAAGTCGGGCGTGTCCCGACACCCGTTTGAAGACCCTGAAGCATGCCACAACATTGTTCTCGGGATTCCAACGCCACGGATCAGCCCGACTGCTGCGTCATGACGGTCCTGAATCGTGCCACAACGCCATTCGTATGATTCTAACACAGAGAATCAACATAACTGTTGCACCCGCGTATTCATGAATCCGTCCAGAACACCACTTCTGGTACATAGTCAAAAATATAACGGGGACAATGTTCTGACTATGTTTGATTATGTTTAATGTTTTGACTACGTTGCTTTTTGATACAAGATCCCCCTGTAGGAGGACACGCCCGACCTAACGCTTGGCGCGAGGCGCGAAAGTTAGGTGGCCGCCGTGGCCTAGACTCAGCAGCGAGCGAGAAGGGGGGAAATGAAGAGGGCCATGTCGCGAGAGGGAAGGTTCGGCATGTTCCGCAGCGCGCTCTTCACGTTCCAGGGGACAGCATCGCTTCTGAGGGCATCCTTCAGCCCGGCCCCCTTGCCGAACACGGCCACAGCCTGAACGAGCGTCTCGAACTTCAACGCGGCGAGGTACGAGAGGCTGTCACCGACCAAGAGCCAACCTTGCCTAGGGTCGGTCCTGCGCGTAGCCGGCTGCTGACCCTCGGAGACCACCACGGCAAGCTTGGTTTGGCGCCCGGATGTGGGAGCGGGACTGCGCAGGCGGGCTCGGGGAGTCCTGCAGATACCTCAGGTCGCCCTGCCCAGGCACCCCTCGCCTTGCGGCACTTCCTCCCTCCCCTTGTGAGCCCAGCGCGGTCGATGAGCTATCGAAGCTTGATATGGCCGAGACGACGAAAGTTAAAAGTTGTGGTATGGAACTCGTGGATCTCAAAGTTTTCTTGTTTGGCCCGTTGCGTGCTCGCTGTTGCGCATTATCGTTGCGTGTGTGTGTTTGTGTTTGTTTGTGCGTGTGCGTGTGAATGCGAGCGTTTGTGCATGCGTGCGTGTGTTGCAATGTATGCCCTCCTCCGATCTCTAAATATACAGATATATACATATGTATATCCCTCTCTCTCTATGCCCTCCTCTCTCTCTCAGTATCTCTCTCTGTTTTCTTTATTTGTTTACTTTTTGGTTTCTCTCCCTCTCTCTCTCTCTATACACACATAAGTATATGTGTGCATCCTTCTGCGTTCGTTTGCCTCGCAGCGCCCCATGCCCCGCTCTGTCTCTGGTGTATGCACTGAGGCGTTATTTTGTGTTTCTGTTCGGCGGCGTATACATGTCGGTTGGCGTTCTCAACTAGCCCCGTAGCAACACCGCGGAAACACGGGCGGTAGCATCCATACAGGTAATTAGCCGATCGGGGGAAAACCAGCGCTACCTACCCTCGCACGGGACCGCTTGCTCACAGAGAAGCGCGTGTGAGCTAAACTCATGCCGAGGCATCAACATCGCCACCGCCATTTGTTTTGCCTCGATTCCTCCACCTGCGCACGTCGCGTTTACGAAAGCGTCCGCAAATTCAGCTCAGCCGCCTCGTTGGCGGCGACGGTGGAGCTTATTCTGGGCTTACATAGCCTGGTGTTGGCTTCCGCTAAAATCACCATGTGCGCGCGAGGGTTTAGGTAAACGCGTTGGCGGTTGATTTGGAGATCTAGTGTGAAAAGTCTCGGGTCAGCGTAGATGTGCTGAGCCCCCCCGCTGATGAAGCCCTGGTGGTGTTTTCCAATGCCTACCCGGCTCATAGGTAAAAATGGCAGTAAGCGATTTGGAGATGAAGTCCCGAAGCGTTTGTGCCCATCGCAACGTTGGGATGCCTATGACATTCCCCGTGCGTCTAGCAGGGGCTAGTGTATCATGGCATTTTCCCGGAACCGTTCACTCACGACACGCACGAGCGGCGATGCCTTGTGTTGACGTTGTCACGCGCGCATGGTTGTTTTCGCGAAGCGGCCTTCGCAAACGACAAATAATCCCCCCCCCCCTTCGCGTGCCTTTTCTTCCACACTCCGCCTCTATATCCTCCTACCCCGCGTCCTCCTCCCGCTCCTCTTCCACTTGATTTCTCCCGGTTCCTCATCATTGCCCTGATGTTCCTCGACCCCCTCCTCCCTCTCCCTCCTTGTCTCCCCCCCTGCCCCACCTCATCATTGGCGCCATCCTCCTTGCGTCATCCTCATTTCCTGGATCTTCCTCTACCCCCTCCCTCTCCCTCCTTGTCTCCCACCTGCCCCACCTCATCATTGGCGCCCTCCCCCTTGCGTCATCATCATTTCTTAGGCGCCCTCCCTT